TGCGTGCGCCACTCCGCTGTGCGGTGCACGCACTCCTTCCAGCCATCACCGCTACCGATCCCCCACGCCAACAGACAGACACACACACACCGTTCTGCTCCCCCCGATGCGGCTCCTGCCTGCCAAGTGGCGTGGGGCGTCTGCGGGGAGCGGCAAGGGCCCGCGTGTGTGTGCGCGCATGTGGTAGAGGGAAGCCTACACACGCGAACACGCACACAGTGAGAGCGACATATGCGAAGTGTATGCATATACACAAACACACTTTCTGTGTTGAATGTATTTACCAGGCCTTCTCTGGCTCCCTCGATCATTACTTTCTATCTCTCTCTCTCTCTCTCTGTCTCCCAATCACACATGCATGTTGTAATGCCATTTGTTCACAGGCGCTAGCGAGACCACAACGGCGCGTGCGTGCCGGTGCGTTGCGCGATGGATCGACTCTCCATCATGTTCTACCAGATCGACCCCCGCGACTACCCGCTCTACATGCAGTGCGAGCGAATCACCGAGCAGCCGGGGATAATAGTCATGGAGTCGCGCGCGATGCAGGGCATCCGCTGCACCGTTCCTGCTGGGTATCTCCTCTCTGTGCTGTACTTCTACGCCTATCACCGTCCACGCCTGCCCTTCGCAGACCGGCCCTTGTCGAGGTTGCACCACTACTTCTACCCTAGTGGGGCGTACAGCACACCGCTCGGCATCTTGCTCGGTGTGGCGTACACCTGCTACTACGACGGATACGACGCGTGCAGTGCGGGGAATGTCGAGCGGGCGGTTAAGCGTGAACGCGCCAGAGCGTTGATAGCGTGGCAGCAGCACCAGCAGCTGCAGAGGGAAGAGGAGGAGGCCGCGCGCAGACGACGCCCCTGGTGGCGCGTCCTTACTTCCTTCTCTTCAACGACGACAGCAGCAGCAGCAGCAGAGCGGGTGACGTCCTATGAGGACTTTTTGGAGCCCAACGGGATTCTGGGCGTCGGGCAGCAGACAGCGGAGGTGCACGACCCGGTCTTCTATCAATTGTACAGCAAGAATCAGGTCGATGCGCTGGTAAGCGCGGCGATGAAGCTGCGGCAGTCACCGGATGAGGAACGTTGGCTGCGTACCAGCGGCCGACTAGGAGGTTATGGCATCATGGGCATGCTGCTCACGTGGAACAGTGGTGGATTGTTCTACCGCATGTTTATGGGGCTCGGCCTTGGCGTAATCGGCGGTGCTGTGATCTCGGGGCTGAAGTTGGACTCATGAGAGGGCCAACCGCAGGAGTGGCACCATCAGCAATGACTGAGTTGGAGCCTATATGTGTACGTGGGGATGACTGCGTCTGCACCAACAGTAGTTCCTCTTGTCTTCACGGTGGTGTTACCTCTTTCTGCTCTTTGTTTTTTCTTTTTTTGTGGTTGCTCTTGTGTTCTGGTGATGGTGATGTGTGTGTGTGTGACCATCGGAAGTGGCGGCGAAGAGCAACGACAGAGACGGGCCAACGTAGCGCAATGCCAGCCAATGAACCCAGTGGCGAGGAGGCGGTTGACCCCATCGACATCCTCCGCCAGTTCATCCTCGCCGCGCCGCCGGGGGAGCTGACGAATGTTCTGCACTCGCTTCGTGTGCTGACGGGGGACGACCACTTGTTCTTTGAGGCCGCCCCGCGCCTCTGTCTGGAACACCACCTGCGCCACCTCACCGTCTTCACACTCGGCGCGAAGTACGCAAATCGTCACGAGAGCAAAATCCGCTTCGCGGACCCCAGCAACTCCACAGAGACTACTACTACTACTACTACTACTACTGCTGCTGCTGCTGTTGACGGTGACGACGGGCGCGTGTCTTTCCTCACCTCGAGGCAGAACCACCTAGGGACGCGGGTCAGGCGCCACGCAAGGCGTCGGGGTATGCTCGCACGTGAGGTTGCAGAGAGCGTGGATGAGTTTTTCCAGAAGCAGCGTGCGGTGGTAGTCTGCGAGAGAGCCGAAAGATGCAGCAACAGCAACCATAGTATCCCCCCTGCGGTTGTGGGCCATGACGGCGCGGATCCACAACAGAAGAGGGAGGGAAAAGAGGAGGAGGAGGAGGAGGATGACCCCTTCGCGGATGTAGTGCCGGAATATGGCTTCGACACGCTGAACCACGTCTTCTTCGATGCGGCGCTGCATTTGTACGTTGAGATTGACCCAATCGAGCAGCTGTGCGTGCGCGTCATTCCCTTTCTCGCTGCCGCTGCCTCGCTAGAAATGCCAGAGGTGCTACTGGAGGTTGAGCGGCAGGCAACGGGCCTTCACGGTGGGCCTCTCGGCCACGCGCGGTTCGTGCTGGGGCAGGAAGTCTCGCGTTACGTGCGGGAGTGCTTCGGCGCGGCCACGGCTGCGTCTGTTGAGGCGACCCACGGGACGGCGGAGGAGCGTGTTCTGGCGCAGCTTATGGGATCCGCGCGAATGCTCATTGATGGCCGCCGCAGCGCCACTGCCAGTGCCGGTTCCATGGTCGTTCTGCAGTCCAGCAGCAGACCCGGGGAGGAGAGGGAGGCTGACTGCCACTCACTCGTGGTTGCGGTTGCGGCTGTACGCCAGTTTCCACGCAACATGTGGTCCGGGCGCTGGAAGTCGCTCTTCGTGGTGGAAAACATGATGGACGGGGGAGTTTGCATCAGGGGCGAGACGCAGGTCTACGCGCATTATTACGAAGAGGGGAANATGCACCTGGAGGTGGTGCGGGAGCTTCAGCCCACGCCCTTGCCTGGGTGGACCGCAGACATCTTCTTCGCGACGGACAATAACCGTGGCGGTGACAAGGGCAACAGCACCACCGTGACCGCTCCTGACACGTGGGAGATGTGCGCAGCTGTCATGGCGGCGATTCAGCAGCACGAGCAGCAGGTGCACGACGCGGTGCTGAGGGCGTCGCGGGACGCGGGCGATCAGGTGCTGCAGGAACTCCGGCGTCGGCTGCCGGTGACCAGGCAGCTGTTCGACTTCCGCCGCGGGCATGCGCTGCCGCGGCCGCTGTACACCCGCCCGGGGTACGACGACTAGCGAGGACGCCACCGCCGCCACTGGAAGGCGTGCGCAGCGAGTCTGACTATTTGGCTGTGTATGTATCGGTGCTTTACTGTGCCTCTGGTTGGTGTGCTTCTTCGTTGCGATGTGCCATGTATTCTTCTCCTTCCCAACACTTCTTCACACATACACAATGCCACACACACATACACACGAAGAGTCGCAGCGGGGGGCTAGCTGACGTTGCGTAAAATGAGCGCGTGCATTCCTGCTGCGGGTGGTGGCGGTGGTGGCGTGGTACGGGCGCTGGTGTTGCGACGCATGCATGTTGCCCACCTGCAGCAGCGCCATAGTTTCAAATTCAACCCCTGCTGGTGCCAGCTGCGTGCGTGCAGCAAAGGCTTGGCATCGGTCCCAGCAGGAAAACTGCCGCGCGACGCCATTGCGTTGTTCCACTCACCCTGCAGCAGTGCAGCAACAAATGCAGCCGACATAACCATCGTGACGGATGAGTTGGCTTTCAACCAGCTGCTCGCGGAGGTGCTCAGGCGCGACGCTGAGGGTGTCAACGGCGTCGTGCGTGACTTGCAGCGTGTATTGAAACAGAAACGCGAGGAACTCGCCCCGCTGCTAGCCGCCAAGAACCGCATTGATGCCGTAGTCGATGGGCGCTATGTCCCGCTTCTGCGCTTTCTCACGCTGATCTTTCTTCTTGTGCAGTTCGCCGTGCTCTTCCGCTGGGTCTTCGTTGTGTTCGACTGGAACCTTGTGGAGCCGATGACGTATTTTCTCGGCTACACTGTTGTTTGGTTGAGCATTGTCTTCCATTGCCACTACACGCGGGAGATGACGTGGGAGGCGATGGTCGACGTGGTAGCGCAGCGGCGTCGCGCACGGCTGTACCACAATGCGGGGATTGATGCAGTGGCACTGGCGCGCATGCAGCAGAAGGTGCAGACCATCGAAGCAGTACTGTCAAGATACTGAAAAGCCCGTGGTGCGCATGCGGGCTCATCTGTATGCGGTGACAGACCAGCCCAACTACTAGCGCTGCAGGTGCGAGTGCACAGAGGTATATATA